TTGTGTTTTTGATCTAACATTGTCATTTATTACTAAAATTGAGACCACTATGTTGATATTCCTTCATCGAACAGTGATAGAAACCTTTTCAAAAATTAAGATCTAGCTGTTAATGCCTATTTAATCTGAAATTATTGAAGAAAACATTTTAAATGCGGGTTATGTGCGAAACATCGAACATCTTTCTATAAAGCTGACCAAATTCAAAGGAATTGTTACATGTATGTTGATGTTTTGATCTTTACAAGTTTTTTGAAGGCTTTACAAACTTGAAGAAAGTACTAGTAGGGTGAAGAAAGTGAATATGATTATTTTTGTGCGACGAGCTATGCACCAAGCGCGTCCCAAACTACCAGCTGGCAATAGCTATCGTTCATAAAGTCCGCCACCCAACGTTTTGGATAGAGGACAATCCTGATAAATGAAAGGGAAGCTCGTGCGTTTTTTCAACTTAAAATTATAGGAAACCGAAAGTTTTTGTCATACATTATATATCATTTGATGGAAGAAGTCTCCCTCTACAGAACGTAGACTTGGCTTATCCACTTTTTTATGTTATTTAGAAGTGATAGGAAATGAAAATCCAGAAGATCAAAAAAGCCCAACCAACAGCTTTTTTAGAATGGAAGAAATTTGAAATTTTATAGTGCCATATTAAGGTAACTGGACATGTCGTTTATAAAACCACATCCATTTCCCATCAGGGTCTCACTGATACGGTAGGCAAATGTTATGATGGAAACCACAGAATTGTCCGGATATTCTGGCGGAGTTATCTGATACGCTTTAATCCACATCGCACATTAAGTCCTTACTGTGAAATCAGGTTGAGCAGTATGGGATGAAAAGTCAAAATCACTAACATTGGAAAATGAAAATTGTGTGATTATATGTTCACCATGCAATGATTTGCTATGAAGAACGACTATGAACATGTCAATTAAATCCATTAAATTTTGACATATTAGTGAACTTGGCCCCTCATATACATACCGTAATCCTACGGTAAGGTTACCCCGTGGGAAATGGCTGTGATTCTGTCAACAGTATAGTCAGTACCTCTCATTGTGTACTCCGGGTTTCTCCCATTCCAGAAAAATTCAGCTGTCAGCTGAGCTTTTGTTGGCCCTCTGGACATGTACATTCGATCACTTCTAATTCAAAAACGAAATTGTAGAGTATGCTAAGTACATGATCGAAATGTGCTGCAAACTTTTCTCTTTTTTTTGTGAAGATTCTTGGGTTTGAGTCTGCAACTTATCTGACAACCCAATAGAAGTAAGTGGCGAAGACCATCATTGATCACCTGATACTACTAAATAGGATTAAGCTTCTTGATGCATTGTTTGACATATCCGGCCGAATATGCACAAACATATAGAAAGCTGGTAAGCTGCCTAATTTGTAGCTGTGAATTGCCGGTGATGATGAATGTAGTTAGTGGCGAAAGTGATTTTGATAAATGGACAAGCGCAAATTGCCCGCCTCGAACAGAAAGATTGCCCGTTATGATATAACCTCCATTCAGGCGGCTACGCCTTCCCAACGATGGGTATCAATGGACAGCAGTTGAGTGGATACCAACCCCAAGTGAGAGCAGTGCAGCCAATATATGTTCCAGCTGTAGCACCCCAACCAGCAAGAGGTTGTCGAGGGGGCGGCGGCAATGGCTATCAAGTTATACAGCTTCCATCCACTATGCCAATTTATATAACATCGGCCTCAGCTCTTCAGCTCCCAGGAGGTTGCGGGGGTGGCGCTCGCGTTGGTGGCTATGGTGGCTACCAAGCTTCAGCAATTCCGTCTCCCGCACCTGCTCTTCAAATCCCATCGAGTGCGTATGCGCAAGCACCGCCAGTGCAGGTGGCTCCATCTAATGGTGGGGCAAGATATATGCAACCGCCTCCTCCACCACCTCCGAATCCTCCAGAAGGAAATGTGCTGCCTGCGTGTGGACCCGAGTGTGGAGCATCAGTGGAGCCAGCACCACCCGCTTCAGTAGGAAGTGACTATGCAGAGCCTGCAGCAGAACCAGCACCACCCACTTCAGTAGGAAGTGACTATGCAGAGCCTGCAGCAGAACCAGCACCACCCGCTTCAGTAGGAAGTGACTATGCAGAGCCTGCAGCAGAACCAGCACCATCTTCAGCTTCAGAAGGGGTTAGCGCGGCAGCGCCATCAAGTTTAGCAACGGAAACGACCCCTCAGGGCTTTCCCGAAAGTGTTAGTCCCGATGGAGGAAGCGAAATGCTTTCTGAATCTGCACCTGCAACAGCTACCCAAGAAGAAGCAGGCATTGCCGAGAATCCACCTTCTTCTGGAGTCGAAGGTTAGTTAGTGTGCAAGTTGTAAGAAGTAGCCTAACAATATTCCCATGCCAGGTAACACAGTCGAAACCGAGCCAAGCGGATACGCGGAACGCATGAAAAAATGCGAGTTATTTTCTTTATCATCACCATGAAGGAATTTCCAATACATCTCATTTCAGTACGCAGAAAGCTCCTAAGAATGTTGAAAAAGAGAAAGAAGGTGTCACGAAAAAGTCGCGTGCGTAAAGTAAAGTTTAGGAAAGCAAGCAGAATCTGATATTTCACACAGTCTTCTATCATTAAAAAGAAATAAATAGTTATAAATGCCTTGTTTACAGGATATACACATCATATGTATATTTATATAATAATAAACAGAATCAAACATCACGACCCTCCTCCTTTTACCTTCGCCTTTCCTTTCCCCTCTCCTCCCACTGTAATCCTCAAGCAATAGCACCTCAGCATGCTTAAGTCCTTCATGCTCTTCAAGTGCCGGTCAAGTGCAAACTTCTTCTGCCTGTAAAGCTCCATAAATCCGGTTAGAATATGTATGAAAGATCTATTAGAAGTGTTTTTGTCACAATGCCTTTCTTCTAATGTCACCTAAAAGTCCGCATAAGAAATTTGGGCACCACACTATATGCAATACAACAATAGCCATTGCAAATAATTATTTTTGGCAAAGCATGCAGTGAATTTTTAAACGAAAACGGAAATTTCCTATAAAATCCGTGTTTAAAGTTGGTACGCGCTAGTTGGCGCTAGGGGCGTCAGGATGGGGATGAGAAAGCCAAAATCCCAAAAAAATGAGAACTGAATGGATGAAAGTTCTTGCTCGTACTTTTTTTGTTCGGGGACAATTTCGAACGATTTCGACCCCTCTAAAAGTAAGCTAACCAGCCTTTTGTGATTGGTAGATACAATTGGAAGAATATGTTATTAAATCTAACTCTTATCATCTTTTGTCACTGCAACAGTTGCACAACTGAGAGTTTCCATATCTCATAAGGATAGGCGGATCAAAGGAGCGGCACTGAAGCGTTGCGCGCCGCAATCAAATACTACTATGATCGGAGTTCGGACGCACACTTCTGACGCACTCACTGCCGACTTCTGAAAACTTTTGCACGACATAAAGAAAGAAAGCAGGCTAGAGCATAGACAAAAAAGCGCAGCAATTTTGGGATAGAGCCATATTATGTTAAATGTATTCGATTGGAGCGCCGCAATGCAACTACCACGCATCCCGCTCAGTCGATTCTT